TGAGTTCATTTAATTTGAAACAATATCTATTACATTATTGTTATAGTTGATGCTAAATTAATTACTAATCTTTTGGTATGTCAGAAACCTTGTGGCAAATAGACTTGACATCAAGGCAACCAATGGAGTCTGCACAATATCCTGTCCGTGATGGTGAACCAGATTGTTCCTACTACATGAGAACTGGTCTTTGTAGATTTGGAACAACTTGCCGATTTAATCATCCTCCTGATAGGAGACTGGTAAGGGCTACCTATCTAAAGCAAATGCAAATAAATAAATAGGCTAAAGGGGCCACTAGAAAGTTTACTTTCCATTTGTATGACTGTCATACTTGGGGCTTATGCTAGGAGTCCCAAAAGTAGAAAAAGAAGAATTTTCACAAGTTTAATCCACATATAGGTATCATTGTACCATTACCTCTCTATCTGCAGTGTTGAGTAAACTGCAACTGTCATTGTCATGAATTTAGGCCATATCAATCAAGGATTTTTCAGTGACAAATGGCAATGGGCTCTTGATGAAAACACAATAAACATAATTGAACATTTGATGCCCTATAAGATTGACATGTGTAACTAAACTTCCATTTTTTGCACGTGAGTTAGATGGAATGAGCATATGTTATGTTCTCTCGCCATGGTCAAGAAAACATAAGCAAAAATGAACAAAGAATAATAGTTGGAAAAGGAAAAGAAGAAAACATTAGGTTTGCTTGAGACCCAAAACTCTCTTAGACCCTTTTTGGGATTGAATTTCTGCGTGCCATTATTCTAAATAATACTCCCTTTTATAGGGTTGATTACAAAGATTCCTAAACTAAGAATGATTAATTATTTGGTAGTTTCTAAATGATTAAACTACCTAAACTAATTCAAAGACCAAAAGTAATAAGTTAAATAACTATTTAGTAGTTTCTAAATATCTAAACTATGTAATGCAATAGTAATAAAATAAGACTTCCTAAATAATCATGGCCCCAGCATGTATCATCATATATTGATGTGAAATCTTCTGAAACGACACCCCTCTCTGTTAGGCATGTACTTGTACCATTTTTTGGAATTTATACTCTTATTATTATGTTTGTGATTTCTGTTGTATGTTAGTTGCATATCTGTTTTCATGTTAATGTGTTATAGATTTACTAGTATTCTAGTTTTCAGTCTCCATATACTGTTTATTATATATGCTTGTATTATTTAATTTCTACTTGGGAAATTGGTGGACTTACAAAGGATCAAATGCAGGCCATTGCCACTGCAAGGATGATAGGTGAATATCCAGAAAGAGTAGGGCAACCTGAATGCCAGGTATCGAATCCCAAGTTCATGTCTGTTTTTATGCTATTTGGCTAACCAGACAGACAATTTTGCATATATCATGAACCAGGACCTGAATCATGTATTTTATCAGCTATTTAATGGCTCAATAAGGTTCTAGCTTTGCTGGAGACCACAGCTTTAATAAATTATATTTAACTTGCAATAACTATTTGGACTGCTGCTCAGTATTACTTGAAGACTGGAACTTGCAAGTTTGGAATTACGTGCAAGTTTAACCATCCTAGAGAGAAAGCTGGTATTGCTGGAAGAGTTGCTCTAAATGTCTTGGGCTATCCACTTCGCCCGGTTGGTCTTCTATTTGCTCTTTTATTGGCTAAATTATTTACCAGAATTCAATATAAGTGAAACAAGTCAAAGAAATGCCAAAATGTCCCGTGGGCTACTAAATTTAAAAAAAATATATTTCAGCATACTCACATGAGAGCAACTCATTATTTAATTCATTTTTTTTCTTTTAATGATGACTGCTGATCATAAGAAACACCACAATATTGATAAACACTTTAACCCACTACTATATTACACTTTTAGGAATCTTCCATGCACTTAGGGCGTGAAGTGTATGCCACTAGCTTGATATGTCGGAAGGATGCTATTGTCTTGACATATAATTTATGTATGAAAAGTTAACATTATGGTATTGCCTTTTTGTTATTGATGCAGAATGAGACTGAATGTGCCTATTATATGAGAACTGGACAATGCAAGTTTGGAGGCACTTGTAAATATCACCATCCTCAGCCATCTAGTATGATGGTATCTCTACATGGTTCTCCTGTTTATCCACCTGTCCGTTCCCCAACTAGTCCTGGTCAGCTATCATATCCACTGTCAAGACCTTCTTTTATTACCAGTCCACGTTGGCAAGGCCCTTCAAATTACTCACCCTTGATGGTGCCTCAGGGCATGGTATCAGTTCCAGGATATGCATATAGTGTGAGCTTTTACTTTGGTTGCTTTTTGCTGAATGGTTCAAAATTTCTTTTCTTGATTATGCTTCTCCTGATTGAATAGGTTTATGGCTTCTTTTATTATTATTATTATTATTATTATTATTATTATTATTATTATTATTATTATTATTATTATTATTATTATTAATTTATTTCAGAGTAAAAGAGTCACTATGTAATGTTGCTACTAGGCTCCAAGCTCCATATATCCTTTATATAGGTTAAGAAAAGAGGAATAAGAAAGGCTAGATATTTTGGTGGTCCTTTGGGATGTGACTTCAACCTAGCAGTAGTTTATATTATGCAAGCATTGGTGATACTGAGTTAAGTAGTTATAAATTTCAACTGGGTAAAGTTGCAGACTTATGGTAGACATATGATAGATGCTCTATGGATTAAATGGAAAGATAGGATAGAAGACTACTTATGTTTTCAAATGAAGAGGTTCTCTATGAATACTGGAGTAGTGACCTCAAATCATAGCCAGTCGAAGGATGCGTTATGTCTTACTGCTTCATGTATTGTGGCTGTCAACTGGCATCTAAAATGATTAAAGCTTGTGTTGAGCTTTATGTTGTAATGTTGCAATATTTTTGAGAAGATCATTACCAATTGAACAAAGCGCTCTGTCAAAGTTGGCTGTTATGTAGGAACACCTCAATTGTCTGTGAAAGTCTCCACTTGTTACCAGCATTTTCAACCAAATTAGTTTCTTTCATGCCCTTATACTCATGGGCTTCTGTCTCATTTCATATGAGGTATGTGAAAATTATTGGAATATATAAATTTTAATTTCTTATTTGATGGCTATTTTTTAGGGTCAGCTCGGTTCAGTTTCTTCCGCTGAAGGCCAGAAATTAACAGCAGGAAGCAGTCAGGTTTATGGAACCTCTCGTGCAATTGAGGTAACAGCCATGATATCTCAAGGGATCAATTTTTCGTATAGTGCCTGGTTCTTTACCTGTGGAGTATTATTCTTTGCAGAGAGAGAATGTCTTCCCTGAACGGCCTGGCCAACCAGAATGCCAGTTCTACATGAAGACTGGAGACTGCAAGTTTGGTTCAGTTTGTAGGTTCCATCATCCGAGGGAAAGACTGATTCCTCCTCCTGATTGTATGCTGAGTCCTATTGGGCTTCCCCTACGCCCAGTAAGTTAATCTCTATTTGTCTTGATTTTATTTGGTGTGTGTCTCAACAATAAACTAGTTGAACAAACTTCTATATATATTTTTGAAGTAGTTTTGAAGCTCTTAATATGATTTCCTTCTATAATGTGTCTGTAACAGTCTGCAAATAGCTCTTGTGTGCTTTTTTAGATGTCTGTTCTGATTTTGGTTCTCCTTGTGGGATGTTTATGTTGCTTGTGGATAATTTTCTTGAATGTGGAAACATTTTATCATGGGCATTAATTTTATTTGGCAATGTTGATCTGTACACCCTGTATTGGATCTTTGGAAGGAGTAAAGGTTTGCTTTGATCTTGGCTTTGCAAGATGCTTCATTTATTTATTTGTTTTTTTTTTTTTTTTTTTTTTTTTGTTTTTTTTTTTTTTTTTTGTTTTTGTTTTTGTTTTTTGTCTTTTGTCTTTTGTCTTTTGTTTTGTTTTGTTTTGTTTTGTTTTTTTTTTTTTTTTTTTAAATTTCAAGGAGGTAAAGAGTAGCAGCTATACAAGATACCTATAAGGGATCATTGCTAGACTCTTTCATTAGTAGTTTGTCCTTGCTGCTGTGCTTCTGGGTTTTCCCATAAACCTACCTTAGTAGTACCTTGTATTTTATCTAAAGGTTTAACTAAAAAAGCACTTCCCTTTAATCTATAACCAATAAAGCATGCTCCAACTGTAACATGAGCAAAAACAACAATTTTGTTGTTTGTTGATTCTGAATCCCACATAAGTTTGTGCCCTTATATTTGGCATGCTTGGCTGGTAAGTAGAGTTAACCTTATCTAGGTTTTGTTTACTTTCCAAATTATGCACCAGAACATTTTTTTGGGCGTAAGCGTAAATCTGTTCTTTTTTCCTCTTTTCTTTTTCCCTCCCCAATTTGAGCTCATATTCAACATAAAGTATAAGTACAAATTTTGAAATTGCTGATAAGTATTAGTAATACTCCGTATTCAATAGTTACTAGGCAAAAGATGATTGGGTTAATTGTTCCTGCTATGCCCTTTATATCTAGACTTATAAAAATCCAATAATGGAGTTGGACAAGCCCAAAATAGGATCTTTTATTTCATTGTCTGTGTTTTGTAGGGAGAACCAATTTGTATTTTCTACTCCCGATATGGGATCTGCAAGTTTGGTCCAAGTTGCAAGTTTGATCACCCAATGGGAGTTTTTGCTTACAGTCTCTCTCCATCACCTTCAACTGATGCTCCTGCTGGTCAGTTTTTGTTGGGTTCATCATCAGGAACTGGTGCTTTGACTTTGTCTTCAGAAGGGCTTGTTGATGCAGGCTCCACAAACCCCAGGCGACTGCCATCTGGTGATAATAACATTGAAACAGAAGAATGACTTTTCCCTCATATACAGTCAGCTTCACCATCTTCAAACTTTTTAAGAATTAAAACAGTTGCCTGTAAATTCATTTCCATTGCTGGAAATGTACAGAATTCAGTTAAAGTCATTCTGTGCTGAAAATGCATTTCACTTGACAATGTTGACTTTGGTGCCTTGTATAAATCTTCATATATTATTGCACTTGGTGAAATCGACCATGAAAAGTTTGGGTTGGTGTAGTGGCCAAGTGCTCACCTGTTGACTGTTAGACCATGGGTTCAAGTCATGGAAAGTCTCTGGAAACAGAGGTAAAGTTGCGCATGCCTTGTTTCCCTATACCGTAATGATGTGGAAACCTTACAACCCGCCCCATGCTTTGGTGAAATCAACCACGATTGTCTCGTCTATTTTAAAAGCCCTTTTTCTAATGCGAATCAATTTCTCCTGTCTCCTGCTTATACAAATACAAGCTTGAATCTGTCAGTTAATTTTCTACCTGTGCCTATCTTTGTTCTTTATCATTCTGTTTTCTTTAAAAATTTAACCTCTGCAGCCTTTAAGAATTGTCAGCATTATTAGTTGCCATCCTTTGTACGAATGAATAGCATTTTGATAAGCTGGAATTCTATTCTCTATTTTGGTTTGTCTTATTCTTACTTTGGCAGAAAGGTATTCTCTGCAAGACTTCTATGAAGGATATTCTGGTGATTCCAGAAGTCAACAAAGAAGAGAAGCTCCTTAGTAGAAAGTTTGTGGAACATGGACATTTCCTATATGAAGATCAGACCGGTCTATCCCTTAAGCTGGAAATTACCAAAACTGTGTATAGGTAATTTTGAATATAATGCTGTAAGTTTCTTAAAAAGGCATGCTCTTAATAGTTACCTAAGAATAAAATATTGATGATTAACCATCATTTTCAAAGTTTGGGTCTTGGATTGGATGATTGGACAGCATGTGTTGGATCCTGGTTGCTTTTAGGCCATTTTTGGATAGCATGTGCCGGATGGTTGGCCGCTCCAAGGTACATATGTATTACAGCTGATGGTTAAATTGCGAGCTAGCACCCTTATTCCAATTCAATATCCAAATCCTATTTAATCACATATTGTAAACGTTTGTAATCATGTTATGCCTATTCTATAGATTAAGATTTATCCTTTTGTCATAGAACACTGTATGTTCTTCATGATGTGGGCTTTTCAATTCAACTATGTACTGAATGAGATGATATTTTCTTTCCCGAGTCAGGTAGTACTTTTGATACTGTAGATTGAATACTGTGAGTTAATACCCTTTATAGACATAATTGACTTTTTGCAACTTGATTTGGTTCAAAGAGCTAAGAACTGCTCGTGAATGAGTTGTCATGTCAGATGGCAATATGAAAGTACCGGCCAACAAATTTTGGCATGTGGCTTGAATCACCTTTGCTATATAAAACTTGCAAACTTTTTTTATTACCGCAGTATTTCATAACTTGATGTAATGCTCTATTGTTTAGTGAAGGATTGGTAATTGATGGAGTTGTCTTCCGAGTAAAGTGCCTTCCGTGCTTCTTTTGCTTGTTTTCATTCTAACCTAGAGATCGAAAAACACCTGCTGTTGCTTCTTTTGCTTTAGGGAGAAATTAGGTCATACGGAATAAATGATCATCAAGCGATAGACTAAATATGTAATTTTCACTTGCTCTGAAGTAATGACTTTTTCTTGCTCCCGTTTTTTATATAAGTGCGGGAGTCTTATGATGATGTCCGAACTATCTGTCTTGCAGTTGTATTGCATATAATGATATGCTTATGAGTGCACTATACTTTCCCGGTTATTTTCATCCCACTAGTTTGATCACTTGCAGTTGAGACCTAGTCTTTCAGCAGGAGCCTTGTTGACTCCAGGACGAGCATACCACTTGATGAAAAACTTCAAAGAGTTCTCGGGACCAGTACTACTCAGAAGCAACTGCTTTTTCTGAATTTCATCGAGGTGTATATCTGCATCAGGTGGGAAACTCAACGAACGATACCCTTTGATTTGTATCGCAAACTTTAATCAACTCCGGGGAGTCTTGAAGACTGAGTAGAGAATGACTTACAAACGTGAGTTGTATATGCTTTCTCTATTGTGACAAATCTGATTTCTCTGTATATTTGTTGTCTTCCACAAGCTCCTCTTTTGTGACTGTTTCCTTGGAACTCATTGGTCAACATTCCATATTTAAAATAAAAAACATCATTTGTGCAGTAATGAAGATGTTCTTCTGCATGGAATTTCTGTCAATGTTGTTGGAGTTTATTTGTCATTATATTTATCCTATTTTCTGCTGTGGTGAGGGAAGTAGTTTGAACTTTGAATAGCTCATGTTCTGATTGTAAACTGATGCTACTTATTACCAATGCTCTGAACACAAATTAGAATGTGCAGGATGCAATGGTCCTAAAAACACATGTAATTGTGTAACCCGTTTCTGTAGTCTGAGTATGGTACGAACTTAAAGGTGTCTCGTTCAATTAGGATCTGCTCAGGATATCTCGTGGTTTAACTTAAAAAAAAAAAAAAAATCGACTTCACTGGGCTATTCCCGAATTCCATAAATCTGTTCCCAAACTTGAGAAAGTAAATTGAGTCAATCTAATTTCATGATTTAACATCAAACTATATATTTATGCACACAATGAATTTAACCAAACTCAAATGCTCAATGATTGTGATAGGAATCGAACTTATAATACATTTAAGGTGACGATTAACACTAGTACCTTATACATTAGGCACAATTAAAAAACTTTTGAAGTTGTACCGCGTATTATGTGTGCATTTATCCCTGTTGTATCTGGTTGTGATAACACTGAGATCGCAGGGCCGTCCCTGGGCATGTCTGCCCAGGGCCCCCAAAATTTTGGGGGCCCCTTAATTAAAAAAAAAAACATAGCATATATACACACTGTAACCAAAGCCCACAGTGGCAAAGTTCATGAACCTTTCTTTTAAAAACCAAAGCCCACATACACATCGTAACCTTTCTTTTAACACACGAAATACCTATAACCTATTAAATATTACTATATAACCTATATTAGCCTAATCTAAATTCTAAAGTACACAAACAGAAAGTTGGAAAGACAAACTGCGGAAGAGACGAGACTCACAACAGACTAAACTACAACACTGCCTAGCAGCTTAGGTATTTGACCTTTTATTCTTTTAATTTGAGGGTGCTATTTGTGAATTCTAGGTATTTGAATTAATTCAAATATTGAATTTTTTTTTGAATTTGAATGTTTGTGTATTTGAACTAGATTAGGTAATTCAAATTTGGGAAAGACGACAGATTCTACTCGTGTGATACTGATTCTCCAATTCTCAAACTCTCAAGTTCTTCAATTCTCTTGATAGGTAATTAAAATTACGTATTATTTTACAGTTCTTGTTTATTGTTTTATTTACATGACTTAATAATTCTGATTTCATAATAATATATTCAAGAATTTGTTTCTTGATTAATTATTTATTCATAGAGTTTCTAAATAAATTTTTATTTTTTCCTTAGGATTTTATGTCTTCTAGAAAATATTCATTTGAGTTTGAGAAGCGTAAAAAGAAAAAAAGAATTGAACAACTAACTCAATCTCAAAAGGGGGCTCTTAAAAATTTTATTACAACAAAAAACTCAAATAGATGAGCAAAAAGATGATGTCAAGGAAAAATTGTTAGATGCTAATCTTCATATAGAAGATCAAGATGATTGTGATATTGGAAAGAATTTAAATGATAATGTGCGCAACGATGACAGGTATCACTGTGACAATGAAAATAATAAGAATGTTGATAATTGTTTAGATGATGTTGGTCACAGTGATAAACCAAATGATTTGCTTTTATTTGACATATACGATCAAGTATGTTGCAAGAGAAACTGAATGGATTAGCTTTAATCTCTATTGAAAATGACATTTTCGAAGAAGTTGATATCAAAAGCTTGGTGGATGATTTTGCGTCTAAATGTGCACGACGCATGTCACTTTTTAAATGAAATTTTAGATGAATTTTTTATACAATATTTATATTTTAAATTTTTGAAAACAACTTTTTGAACAATTATTATTTATATATAAAAATTAATTGAAAAAGGGGTCCAAATTAAAATATTGCACAGGACCCCAATTTTTATTGGAACGGCCCTGTGAGATCGTTATTTGTTTTGTTTTACATGTAAGGATCAAATCTGTATTCCAAAAATTATAAATTTATGTTGTTGAATCACAATATTTTTAGCTAAATTTTCATAATTTTAGTTAAGAGTTAATTTCACCAAAGGTCTCATGTCTTTGGAGATAATTCCAAATTTAGTCTCACACTATTGTTTTTGCCCTTTAACATCATAGACTTTTTTTTTTTTTTTTTTTTTTTGGATACTTTCAGTCCTTTTCATATTTTTAGTAAGGACATTTTTGTCTTTTGTTATATTTTCAGTTTAATTGATTTAGAACTTTAGGTAACCTATGATTTTTAGTAACCATATTTTTCAATCGGTTTTTAGTAAAGTCATAAACTAATTAAACCGGTTGAAACAGGAAAAATAACAAAAGAAAATATGAAGAGACACAAATGCCTTAGTTAAAATAGAAAAAATCATGACAAAGATAGCGTTTAATGTTTAGGTTAAACAAAAGGGTAAAGAAAATAAAATAAAAATTTTATTCCTGAGGACTCCGGAATAGGTTAATACCAGGGGGCCAGGTAATAGCTATTATCTTACTTGAGGGAATAGGCTATTACTAGGAATATTATTCCTGGGAATACAAATGTTGCCGAATAGGCCTATTACTGGGAATGTTATGGCATTTCAGACCTATTCCGTGAACCAAATGAGCCATATATAAAAGTGTCCAAAAAAATAATAATATGTATAATTGACTTTATTACAATGCAATATTCGCCTTCACTAAGACTTGAAGTCACAACTTCTCATATAAAAGAACAACTTAGTGACACTAGATGACAAAGTACTTTGGCAATTCTTTTAGTTAATAAGAAATATAATTAGGAGATAATCCCAATCCGCGAGCGGGTTACGTGTCTTGTCTTGGCTTCTTGAAACAATGAAACGTGAGTTGTTCAACATAATTCTCTTGATGTTGAATAATGTGGGAGGGATTTGGTTCATTGCCCACAAATAATTAAAGCTTCATCAAACACTTGTTTGTTGGAGCAGTTGCATTTCAATTATATGGCTGCCAGATTTTTGTTTTGCTTTCAAGAAGACCCATCCTGCTCACTAAATCGAATTGAACCTTGCTAAAATTACAATGTTTGATTAAAATTTCTGCTTCCACCCAGCAACCAAGTTAGTTAGACAGTTAACTGTGCACATTTGGTAGCGAACCTTGTGTTAGGTCAGTCCCCACAATAATAATAATAATAATAATAATAATAATAATAATAATAATAATACATTGATTATTAGTATTATTATCATTATAATTATTGTTGTTATTGCTGTTGTTATTAGTAGTATATTATTATTAGGAAAATTTGTCAAATAGACCTTCCAACTTTTGATGAAAACACAATTAAGCCTATTGATTTTATGACTTTTAGGTAGTCAACGACTGACCAACACAACCATTAGAATAACGAGAATATATGTGTTGTATTACTAGGGAATGCTTGCCTTTTCTCATCTATTTATACATATGTTGGATTAAAAACTCTACAAGGATTATAAAGCATAGAGTACCTCATATTGGGAGTCGCTGTTACATGATAAGCCCTAATCTTCGTTACATTATAAATACTAAGTTCAATCCTTATTAAAATCTTAAGTTGCTCTGAGTATCCTTCTTAGACTTTCATGATCCATTTACTTTATTGGCCCAGGCTTAATATGTCATCCATTAAAGCCATCAAACTTTAAAAAGTTCAAATTAAACATGCAAACTCAATAAAATCGTCCATCTAAACCATGTTTATCAATAACTAATAAGTTATTGATAAAATTACGACGACTTAACATGATTTTTGTTTACATAGTCGTCTGATGATCGCCGATCACTGTTCACTGCTGCTGATAATCACAGACCGTGATCTTTCTTCATATCTAAGAAAAACAGCGACGAACATGACAGGAAGGTGATGGATTAGGAAATTATTAAAAAATTTAAAATTTTAAAAATAATTTAACCAATATAATTGATAAAATTTCTACTCCGTATTTACTAATTACTAGCGCAAATTATGCCGTGGAAACGTGCTCACCATGCTTGGTGAACACGCTTCCAAACGACGTCGTTTTTGGCGTCGTTTAAAAAAAAAAAAAAAAAAACACTGTTCTATTAACGGCGTTAGGAAGGCAGTTATGATCAGACAACTCTTTGCGTTTGATTATTTCCTATTCGCAAATCGCTGAAGGCAATTGTGATCCGACATTCGCGATTCTTTCCTATTCGTGATGGAGGAGACGATGGTTCGAGGAGAAGATTCAACCGATATGATTTCTGCGATTCCAGGTTGCGTTTGATTTTATGCGTTTGATTTCGTTTGATTTATGAGATCATGGATTGTTGAAGATTTAGTTATTTTTATTGATATTTGTTCAGTATCTATGCAGTTTGAATGTTCATAATGGCCGTAAATGTGTATTAGTTCCATGTTTCTGTTATGAATTTTACAAAATGCAATTATGTATTTTCTGTTACAGAGTTATGAATTTTGATACTCTGTTCATGCATGTGATATGAATATTCATAATGTAATAGTAATATGTCCATAACATATTAACTGGTGTGTTACACTGCTTGCATATACTCAGTGAATGAAGATTGTGTTGGTGATTCAATAAGCAATGATCAAGCAGAGTTAAACATTGACATTGATGGCTCGTCTTCAAGTCCAGGTTCTTTTTATTAGTTGGTGTATCATGAATGTTGTTTCTTGTAGGTGTAGGTACTGATTCATGGTGATTATATGCAAATTGAATGTTGTGATTGGTATTAATAATCTGTTCACGTTATGAATTTACAGTTTGAGGTTATGAATTTTCCGTTATGTTATTATGAATTTTCCATATGAGGTTATGAATTTTATGTTATGAGGTTATGCATTTAATGCCATGAGTATCTATGCAACTTTGAATGCTCATAATGTCACAAATGTTATTGATATCCGGTTTTTGTTATGAACTTTCTTATATGATGTTATGAATTTTATTCTTTGTGATTATGAATGTTCTCACATGAGATTATGAATTCTATAGTGTAGCATATTACATTCATTATAGGTGAAATCCACATTCATAGTTTAGTAGTTGGTATAGGTGTGGTTATATTTTTGTTGCAATTGCAGTTGATGAAGACTTGGTGGGTGTTGTAGTAAGAAATGTTGACGAAGCTTTTGAGTTATATAATGGATATGCATACAGAGTTGGTTTTAGTGTGAGGAAAGGCCAACAACGTTATAAGGCATCTACTAAGTCAATTCAGATGAAGAGGTTCTTCTGTGCTAAGGCTGGGTATAAGCAGAAACCAAACAGTGGTGTTAAGCTTTATTCAAAGATTGATATGAGGACTGGATGTGGTGCATTTGTTCAGTTTGATGTGGGGGGTGATGGGATGTGGACAGTTACAAAACACTTGAAAGAGCACAATCACGAGTTATGTTCATTTGGCAAGAGTCATCTGCTTCGGTCGCATAGAAGAGTGGGAAACAATCAGCTTGAATATTTAAAAGACATGAAGAGTAGTGGTGTTGCATTGGCGGATGGTATGAGGTTTTTGAAACATCAGTCAGGGGGCTCTCCATTGGTTGGCTTTACCAACCGCGATGCTTACAATTCAATGGCTTCTGTGAGTTTGAAGTGTTTGGATGGATCGGATTCAAATTCTTTGGTTGAGATATTCAGGAGGAGGCAATCTAATGAGGCTGATTTCTTTTTTTGATTTCGAAGTTGATTTGGATGGAAGATTGTGTAGTTTTTTTTGGAGGGATGGTCAAATGAGAAGGGATTATGAGGTGTTTGGTGATCTGTTAGTGCATGATACAACATACCGCACTAACAAATATGATATGATTTGTGGTCCTTTTGTAGGGATGAACCATCATTGCATGAATGTAATGTTTGGTTGTGGTTTTTTGATGAATGAGAGGATAGAGTCATTTGCGTGGTTGTTTAGAGCGTTTTTAAGATCCATGGATGGCAAGTGTCCACAGACTATCATGACGGATCAATGTTCAGCTATGGCTGCTGGCATTTCCATGGTGTTTCCTACATCACGCCACCGTCTTTGCATATGGCATATTGGTGAGAATTCGAAGAAGCATATTAAGGCATTGAGGAATCATAAGGATTTTCTGGATATGTTTAATTGTGTGTTGAAATACACCGAGACTGAAGCTGAATTTGAGGTTTACTGGACAAGGTATGTTATTATGAATTTACATTATATAATTCTGAATTTTCTGTCATGTCATTATGGATTTTCTGTTATGTCATTATGTATTTTCTGTTATATGATTTATGAATTTTCTAATATGAGATTATGAATTCACAGTTATACAATTCTGGATTTCCTGTTATGTCATTATGTATTTTCTGTTATGTCATTATGTATTTTCTGTTATATGATTTATGAACTTTGTAATATGAGATTATGAATTCACAGTATTCAATTATGTATTTTCTGTTATGTCATTATGTATTTTCTGTTACATGATTATGAACTTTGTAATATGAGATTATGAATTTTCAGAATATGTGTAATAAACATGTGTTTTAACCTTTTCAGGATGGTTACAAAATATAATTGTCATAAGAATACATGGCTAGAGAAGCTTTATGACTGTAGGGAGAAGTGGTGTCCAGCGTTCAACAAGGATTATTTCTCCGGGGGTATTTTATCTTCGCAAAGGAGTGAAAGCACAAATCATGCAATTTCTAGGAGGCTGTCCAAGACTGCTGGTTTATGTGATTTTTATTCATCATTTGTGAGTGTTATATCTGAATGGAGAAGTAAGGAAAATGGCGAGGATTTCCGGTGTTCTCAAGGAGTACCCGCCATGATGTTGGATCATGTGAAACTCCTTTCACATGCTAGAGAGGTTTATACAATTGAGATATATTTTTTGTTCGAGGAACAATTTATGAAAGGTAGCTCTTGTTATCAAGAAATGGTGTTGAACGATGGTTGTAAGTGCAAGTATCACGTGTGGCGACCAGACATAGATATCATAAGGCATGAAGTAACCTTTAAGGCAATCAATTTGGATATATGTTGTAGTTGCAAGCTGTTTTCAGAATTGGGAATACTTTGCTGCCACTGCTTACGTATACTTCATGTGCACTGTGTTTCCAGTATTCCCGATAAATACATTCTAAAAAGATGGACTAAAAAGGCTGTTGAGCGTACAAACGTGGACATTGCATCTGTGTTTTATAATGGTGGTGTCCCTTCTTCAATTTGGGCTGTTGAGATTAGTAGGAAATTTCAAAGGCTTATTGTTTCTAGCCAAGATAACAGTGTTGCTAGACAATTATGTGATGAAGCCGTTGAGAATGCAAGGAAAAACATTGAAGCTGAGATTGGGGATGTGAACACTGAGGAGGGTGCTGTGTCTTCGTCAAGTGGTATTGTCCAAGACCCCTCAAGCCGGAGGGGTAAAGGTGTGAGAAATAAAAGGAGTAGTAGTGTTATTGAGAAGAAGTACAATGCAGCAAGGGGAAGAAAGAGCGCTGCAAACAAGCTTGCTTCAATTACAAAGGGCTCTGTCCAATCATTGGTCTTGGAAAATATTTCAGAGATTGCTCGTGATGGATATCTTGTACATCCAAGCACCGGGGGTTCACAATTTGTTCATTTTAATAAGAATGTAGACCACGATGTAGCTATAGACTGAGATCATGTTAACAGTATGTACTTATGAATTTTATGATTTTTAGATATAGGTTGAGAATTATGTGTCAGATTATGAATTTTCCTTTGCCAGTTTATGAACTTTCATTTACCAGTTTATGAACTTTCCTTTACCAGTTTATGAATTTTCCTCTATGTGATTATAAATTTTCCTCTATGTCTCAGATTATGAATCTTCCTTTATCTGATTATGAATCTTCCTTTATGTGATTATGAATTTTCCTATATGTGATTATGAATTTAGAGTATGTGCTTATGTATTTTATGCTATTCAGATTTTATGAGAATTATGTGTCAGATTATGAATTTTCCTTTTGCCAGTTTATGAACTTTCATTTACCAGTTTATGAACTTTCCTTTACCAGTTTATGAATTTTCCTCTATGTGATTATGAAGTTTCCTCTATGTCTCAGATTATGAATCTTCCTTTATCTGATTATGAATTTTCCTTTATGTGATTATGAATTTTCCCATATGTGATTATGAATTTAGAGTACGTGCTTATGTATTTTATGCTATTCAGATTTTATGAGAATTATGTGTCAGATTATGAATTTTCCGTTATTTGATTATGGATGTTACTTTATGTGATTATGAATTTTCCTTGTTGTCATTATGAATGTTATTTTAATCTATGTAACAATGAATTTCAGTTATAGCTAACACGTATACATTCATAATCTCATAAAAGAAAGTTCATAATTGCATAATAGAAAATTCATAATATGGTAGTTGAAAATTCATAAACTCTACATGATCCACATGTAATCTGAACTAAGAGCAATAGATTGTGTATTCATAGGTGCAAAATATCTGTGCACATTACAAAATATCAACAGTCAAGATTTGCTTCATGTTCACAACATATTCAAACACCAAAAAGCGGTATAGTTTCACTTCTTCTTTGAGAGATCCTTGGCTGCCTTCGTAACTCGCAATCTTTCAGTGTTCCTACCCCATGTGATAATGTTTGATGCGTATTTAGCTCTAAGCTCCCAAATGAAGTCAGCCTTCAAAAAAAAAAAATAAAAAGATGTTAAAAAACAAAACAAAAAAAAAAAAAAAAAAAAAGCAAATCTAAGTTGAAATTAATATATCTTATACTCTTACGTTTACATGGGTGCCTATCTTGAATCCACTGTCCCAATCTTGAACATTCCCCTTGTAGGACTCCATGTGTCGCATGACATATATGCCACAATCAATGACATTGTCAAGCTCCTTCCAAGGAATGGCCAAGTATGATACAGGAAGGTTTTGTATCTTACGGAGTAGGGGGGATTTTTCTGCAGTCAAGTACTCTTTCAAAGCATTCATCTGGACAAAAATGAAACTAGTGTGATTATGATTCACATGAAATGTATAACAAACGTTTGAAAGGTCAAGTTTAAGGTTAAGTTACCAGTAGATTTGGGCAATCTTCATACTTGTCAGCTTCAGTAACACCCTTCGGCAACATCTTGTTGTCAATGATTTCAACACTTTTTGAGATGGTGTTGATGCAGAGAACAAAGTAGTGTTCGTGTCGAAGCACGGGGAAAAATAGCTAACATCAAAAGAAGTAGTTAGAATAGAGAAGAAATATGTAATTAATGAATAAATGTTGAAGGTGGGTAATTATAAATTACCAAATCAGCATCATTGACATCAAGATTTTCAAATTTTGAAATCTCATACTGTAATCGCTCATTGAAATTATCCTTCCGCTTTTGAAGCGGAAGATTCTTTATCCACTGTTCAGATGGGTCGAGTTGAAGCTAAGGGGAAAAAAATACGTATCAATGATAAGTTGTGCAATATGTAATGGCAGTCATACGTAATTCATGATATCATAACATAAAATCCATAATATTACAAAGAAAATACATAACAACAAAACAGAAAATTCATAATATCAAAGTTGTAATTTCATAACTCACAATAGAAAATTCATAATGCCATATGGGAAAATTCATAATCTCACATTAGAAAGTTCATAATATCAAAAATGTAACTTCATAAACTCACAATAGAAAATTCATAATATGATATGAGAAAATTCATAATCACACACAGAAAATACTTAAAATCCATAATATTACAAAGAAAATACATAACCACAGAACTGAAAATTCATAATATCAAAGTTGTAATTTCATAACTCACAAATAGAAAATTCATAATGCCATATGGGAAAATTCATAATTTCACACAGAAAATACATAATCTCACATCAGAAAGTTCATAATATCAAAAATGTATCTTTATAAACTCACAATAGAAAATTCATAATCACAAATATAAAATACATATTTACATGACATAAAATACAGAATGGTTTAACAGGAGATTCAGAAGTGAGCAGAGTAAAAATTGTTGTTATTAACTTACATGTACCAACGTGCTAAAATAGATGCACTTTGGCTTCCCCAACGCCCGTTTTGTGTTGAGGAGTGTAAGCCTTAACGCCCATACATCTATGAATGTGTTAAAAATTTCACCGCTTCGGAGGGTGTGGAAATCTCCTCTTGTCATTGAGAAATCATCAAAGATAAACAGAGTTTCACTACATGAACAAAAAATTTTGATAAATAGGTAAATAAATTAATATATGGTTGTAAATGTGAAATATAAATGAAAATAAAAAGTTTTCTAAATGGTTAGAGTCAAACATACTCCACTGGATGATCTGTAGAAACATCCATGAAGGCGTAGTTTGATACGGCCCTCTCGGTCACACTGGCATTATGGACAAATGGCACATTCTTTGTCCAAAAAGGTGATCTCAAGTTTAACGGGATGTTTTTGTATTTCCGGACTGGTCTCTTTCGCCTGGTGACATCCTCGACATCAGATTCACTGTCCAGAAATGCACTGTAAACACACGAAGATAGTTAATATCATCATAGTTGCACAATTTCAGGTTAGAAAGTTCATAACTGCAGTACATAAAATTCATAAATACAGAACAGAAAATACATAACTGCATATCAGAAAGTTCATAATATCAAAAATGTAATTTAATACTCATAATAGAAAACTCATAATCTCATATGTGAAAATTAATAATATTTCAGAAGAAAAGTCATAATATAATATCAGAAAGTTCATAACACAATTTCATATTCTAATTAGTTTACCTATCAATATCGTCGAGGGTAGCAGGTAGTGTAGCAGCAGGCGTAGAAGTATTAGCAGCATCAGGGACATCTCTGGCGAATGGAACCTTGATCAATGGAGTTATTTCTCGTCTTTCAGAACTTGATGTAGCAGGGGTAGCAGCATATGCTTCAGAAGATGAAGCAGTAGGGGTAGCAGCAGTGGTAGGAACATGCGTAGGAGCAGGGAAAGCAGCAGGGGAAGAAACAGCCGTAGCACCAAGCGTATCAGCAGGGGTTGTAGCAGGGATAGCGGTAGGAGTAGTGGAGAGTGTAGCAGCATCAGCAGCACCGGGAGTGTCTTTCACAATGTTCTCAACAAGGGCATCCAATTCATCTTCATCCATTGCACTTTGCTCACGTGGTTCATCAACCAATGGTGCCGGGGTATAAGAGATCCCTAAATCAAATGAGGGAGGGTCAATCTCCATTTGCCGATTGGTCTTATGGAAGGCTTCAACCAAGGCATCAACAGCCTTTGTGAAAGACTCTTGGCCAAAGAAGATGTCGTCTAGTTGAGAGGAGGTTGGAGTTGGTGGTCTTTCTATTGTGCTTGCAACGCCAATCATGGTGGAAATTCCAGAAAATGCGGCCTTCATAACATCCACCGGTGCGTTTTGTCTGCCAACTTCAGCCATAGCCTCACCGAATTCCAAGACATCAGCAGCAAGGCGTTGTAGAACCCGCGTGACCCTATCAACACTAGACGGCGGCACAGAGATGGTTGGGACTGGTTGGGCGGAAGTAGAAGCGATACAATCAGCAGTAGGCTTTGCAATACGAGGGATAACTTTCCCTTTACCATATCCGCCCGACCTTTTCTCAGCGGAAACCCTTTGCCGTGCAAGTTTACTTGTCCATGCAGTAATGCTTGGATATGTTCTTTGAATGCTCATTCCTTTGAATTGGACCCGATCAAAGTAGAATAGCTACAATGTTGAACAAAAAGGTAAAATAAAAAAGTTATAATCACAGAATTCATAATTACACTACAGAAAATTCATAATATCATAATAGAAAATTCATAATCCATATGAACATTATATTCAACTATCATATTATGGATTTTATGTTATGCAATTATGAACTTTCTATTATGAGATTCATTATTGCATAATACTATAAGAACATTCATAATGATAACAAGGAAAATTCATAATTACATAAAGGAACATTCATAATCACATAAAGGAAGATTCATAATCGGATAAAGGAAGATTCATAATCTGAGACATAGAGGAAAATTCATAATCACATAGAGGAAAATTCATAAACTGGTAAAGGAAAGTTCATAAACTGGTAAATGAAAGTTCATAAACTGGCAAAGGAAAATTCATAATCTGACACATAATTCTCATAAAATCTGAATAGCATAAAATACATAAGCACATACTCTAAATTCATAATCACATATAGGAAAACTCATAATCACATAAAGGAAAATTCATAATCAGATAAAGGAAGATTCATAATCTGAGACATAGAGGAAAGTTCATAATCACATAGAGAAAAATTCATAATCACATAGAGGAAAATTCATAATCTAACACATATAATCTACAATCTGAATATCATAAGATTCATAAGTGGAGCTAGAGCTTACCAATATGAATGTCATTGGTCCAGTAAAGAAGCTATTACTTTTCTTCCTGTACTGCTCGATGGACTTGATCAGAGAGTTGTAGGTGTAGCCACACCAGTTGTACTCCTTTATCTCATCAACATTAATCAAGGAGTTGAGGATTCTGTTGTTGCAGTAGCGGTTCTGAAATCCCCTCATCATGCACGAAACAGTCAAGACCATGAAGTCTCTCTTAAAGTCATCTCCAGAATCTCCCCTCTGAAC